GCCTTATTCGTCTTAAGCAAGTTTATTGCGATTTCTAGTGGTTTACTCCAGAGAAAATATTTAAACAGAATTTTAGTTTTGTGATATAGGTTTCGGAGGAGAAATCAGGGCATTGTGTTTTTGAAGCCATATTAGGGCGTATATTTGCAAAAAAACTATTGAAATTTTCAGCGATAGAAATTTTGTCGATATATTCAGTTTCGTTAACGATAATTTTATCGGGTAAATTATTTGATCTTGTATGGTTTTTACCTATTATTTTCTTCAATATGTTCCAGGTTTTTTTAATATCACTTTTGCTCTTTTGTAGTTGTTTTGAATAATATTTTTTTTTTGAGTTCTTTCTAATTTTTTTCGTTTCTGTTTTTTAAATACTTGATAGTTTTTGCTTTGTTTTTGATGATTTTTTAATCCCGTTAGTTATTCATGGACAGTTAAAATATTTTAGCTTAATTTCTTTCTTTTCAACAAGGAAATGTTTATTGTAATGATCTAGAAAAATATTTATAAATAAATTGTATGCAGAGTTTGTGTGTTCAAAATTACATTCTTGATACACTCCATCCCAATTTACTACCGATAGCGAGTCTTTAAAATTTTTAATAGAGAACTGATTGATTTTCCTTTTAGAAATTTTGGTTTTAGGATTGTTATAGGTTCTTAAATCTTGAGAAAATGAAAAATAAATGGGAAATTGATCTGATATATCGGTTTTGATAATTCCTGCTTTTAAAGAGGTTTCTAGAAATGTATTTGTTAATATATTGTCTATAGCAGAAACGGAGTTTGGAGTTACCCGGGTTTGGTTTGTTGATGATTGGGAGGATACACAATTGAAACAGAATATCAAAAAAGAGTTTAATAATTGCATTTTCTTTGTAGTTTAGACTGTTAATATTTAAATCCTCTAAAACGAAAACATTTTTTCCCTTGTCTTTTGTTTTGAGAAAGATTTCATTTAAAAAAATTTGAAAATTTTCTTATATCACCTTCTGGAGGTCTATAGCAAGTGGAAATTATAATATTTTTTGATTTATTACCCGTTATCTCAATAGTAAAGACTTTGCTATCAGTATCAGAGATGGAGAGGTCTTGTCTTACTTTAAACACTTGATATATGTTGCAATCCCTCCTCCCCTTTTGTTTGTTTTTCTTTCAAAAGATATTAGTTTATAATTTGGAATTTGAAAATTTGAGTTCGTTTTAAATGATTCATCAGAACACCACGTTTCGGTTATGCAAATCATACTGAATGAGTAATTGTAATCTATTAGGAAATGCTTTAGTTTATCAAAAATTTTATTTATACTTCTTATATTTATGCGTATTGCAGTAAAATTATTTTTTAATGTTTCAAGTTCAATTTCAAAAGTTTCTGTTTCAAAATATTTCGAATCAAACTTATTTCTATAAAAAATTTGTGCATCAGAGTCGTAAAAAACATTTAGTAAAATATTATTTTAAAGACGTTGAAACGCAGCGTTTCAAGACCTTTTGTTTTGTTTTTGTTTTCGTTAGTCATTGTGTAAAGTGCAGTTAATTAAAATGTGCTAACATAATAAAAAATGTACAGAACTATTTCACAAATCTCAATTAAGTACTTTGTTAAAATTAAAAATATTTACGACGAATATTTTATCATAATTGATAATAGCAAACTTACCTTCCTTTCGAAATCTTTTACAATCTTCCCATAGCTTTTTTCTTATTTACTTCGTTTCGTTCGCGTAGTCTTCATTAATAAAAAATCTTAAGGCAATCAATTAAAATCTTAACGCAATCAAAAAAAACTCAAAGTTTCTTTAAGTTTTTTTGATTGCGTTGAGATTTTATTTTTATTTTGAATGTCTAGCAGTTTAATAAATATAGTTCTTCGAGATTTATTTTCATTTATTTTCCTAATGCGATGCGCTCTTTCAATTATTACCTCTTCAGAGATTCGCAGTTGGTTTCTAAATAGATCTTTAACTTTCTTTTTATAACATAAACAAAATATTTTGTAATATATTGATTGGCAAATTTTTAAATCATTCATCAGTCTTTATAAAATATCTCTTAAAGTTAGTTTCTGTCCTCTAAACAAACAACTTAATTTAGTTTTAGATGTACTTTCCCATGCTATTTTGGCGTATGGTAGATGGCTGTGTATAAAGAAAAATAAAATAGTTTTAAATTTTTGATTGATAGATAAGGTCTTGCTTTATAGAGTAGACCAATGTTTTTTGAAATTTTTGTATTAGTGGAATCTATATGAGAGTTTCATGATAAGTTTTTGTTAAGAAGCACACCAAAAAGTTTAGACTTTCGGGTTCGTTCAATAAGTGTGTTGTCAATAGTAAGGGTTATTAAAAATAATGGAAAAGGTTTTTTTTGGTTGGAGTAAATCAAGATCTATTTAGTTTTATTTTGATTTAATGACAACTTGTTAACTACAAATCATGTATTAAATTGTATTAGTTCCATATTTGCGGTTATAAAAAGGTCACTGATTTAGTTAAAACAATAACACAAGATGGTGTCGTCTGAAAAAATATGCAATCTAGCTTTGACGAGGCTTTAGGAAGGTTGACATAACATAAAAATAGAAGAGGATCACAAATAGAACCTTGAAGGACCCCATATTTAGTTTTTAACTGTTTCGAGTTGTTATGGTTATTTTTTCTCTCTATTTACACTTTTTTATTTTTTACTCAGTCTCTTTTTGTATCAAAAATAAAAACTCAAAATATGTACGATTAAACATAAATATATATATATATATATATATATATATATATATATATATATATATATATATATATATAAATATATATATATATGTATAAATATTTATATATATATATATATATATAAATATATATATATATATATATATATATGTACAAATATATATATATATATATATATGTATAAATATATATATATATATATATATATATATATATATATATATATATATATATATATATATATATATATATATATATATATATAAATGTATATATATATATATATATATATATATACATATATATACATATATATATGGGCCTGCGAAGCTTCGAAATTTCGAATCAAATCGAGTCAAAAATATGTTTCGAGTGACGATTTGAAAATGTTCAAAAATCGAATCCTTACTTATTTTTTTTTTTTTTTTTTTGTGGGTATTTTAGATATTCTGCGCTTTGGCGCTTTCAAAATCCAGGGCGAGATGCATCAATAAAGAGATTATACAATTGTTTTATTTTATTTGATTTTGAAATATATATTATTAAATAAAAAATGTTTAGAATTAGTCTTAAAAATGATGATTCGAAATGTGATTTGAATCGCGAATCAAGACCTGCTTTGATTCGAGATTCGATTCAAAACAAAAACTGCCGATTCGCAGAGTCGATATATATATATATATATATATATATATATATATATATATATATATATATATATATATATATATATACACACATATATATTACAATTAAAATATTGTAAAAAATAAAGTTTTAGCGCTTTCTAAAAGGTAAAGCACTTTTATTTTATTTAAAATTACATCTTAATTTAATTTTAAACTTTTTGCACTCAAATTTGTGCGTGATTTTTTATATCCATTTGTTTTAATTTCAAACGAGTGCGTGATTTAAATACCATTTTTGTTTCCATTAACGTCTCAATCGATTACTATTGGCAACAAGGTTACATTCTCTAATTTTAAACTAAATATTATGTAAATAGACTTGAGCAGCATATTGATTAGCGCGCTTGCCTCAGAAACTAGTGATCCGTAGTTCAACGCCACTTCTAGGAAAGTTTTTAAACATCGGTATGGAAGGAGGCGTGAACTTTTTTTCAAATGCTCTTCCGCGGTGCTCTGTGATAAGACTGTAAGAACTTTTTAGGGCACCTATAATGAACTAAAATAAGAACTTAAACCACCTTAAATATACTAAAAAAAAAGCACCATAAACTAGAAAAAAATTTTGATAATGCAGTAAATGTTTGTTTATTATTGCTGTATTGTTAATTATCATCATTTGTCTCGTTTTTATTATAGAACAGCTTGTCTCATCTGGTTACTTTGTCACGAAAAAAAAAGTAAAGTTTTAAATTCTTTTTTTTTAACTTTTTAAAGTTTACCCAATTGAGACGCAATGTAAGTAAATTTCGAGACGAAAATTCGAGACGTAACTTAAATACGTCTGAAATATAGCTTTTTTTAACTTTAGGTTAAATCTCCTAAAGTGACATTTTAAAAAGTAAAAAAAAAAAAAAACATTAGCAAATTTTTTTTTTATATATAATCGTTTTTTATAATTTTTTATAATAATTTTATTGAAATAGTTTTTAATTTTTTGTGCTCTGTAATAAGTTAAAAAAAAAACAATATAAATATTGGTTTTAATTTTAGGTTTACAACGGTGTACTTTTTAAAAGTGTAAACTAAAGCGTAAAAAACGTTAAAAAAATCTAAATTTGAGACGTATTTTAATTACGTCTCATACTTAGATTTTCAAACATGTTTTACTTGGTTATAGTATATAAATTTATAAGTTCAAAAAAATTTTTAATAAAACTCACTAGAAATCTAGTCTTATAGTATTGTGGTTTATCCGCCTCCGGTTAGTTGCTATTCAAAGGCCACATTACCAAGGCTCGCAAGGACGAGTTCAGCACGCTGAAGAGCATCATAGCACGCTTTGCAGACCAAGAGTAAGTGATTTTAAAAAGAACGAAGGAATTAAAGTAAAAGTCAGAGGTCGATTTAGAAAGATAGCATAGAAAAAGCGGACATATATTGCACAGGATGTTAAAAATGGTGTTAGACTATTACGAGCAAATTAAAAGTCAGGCTGTAAATGAAATAATCATTTAAACACCATTAGCGTCTAAATTTCCTATAACGCTCAATGAGTGGACTTCTTTTGGAAACTTTAGATATATGAATGTGAACTTACAAGAGTTTAAAAGCTATTGGAATTTAGGTTTGATTTGCATTTTAGGGTCTATGCCAGAAGAAAAGTGCGTTTCTTTTCGAAACATAAGGCTTCGCAAGTTTAAAATAAATCTTGAAGACAATATCAAAGGTATTACAAATGATTGTGCAGGTGTTATAAAGAAACTTGGAAAAATATTAGAAATTAATCAACAATTATGATTTGCCGTCGCTCTAAAGCTGGTAATTACTTCAGTACTTTATAAAAAAGACGCCAGTTACTTGGAAGTTGATTAAAGTTTAGATGATTAGAACACTGTCTTTGCAAATTTAGAGAACAAAAATGATGAAAAAAAAGATGATGATTAGAGGTCGGCAGCCCTCTATGATCAGGGATTCGCAACCCGCGACTCTTTTATCCGAAGAAAGTGGCTCTTTAGTTTTTCTAAATTATAAATGTTTTAGTTTTATTGAAACATGAAAAATTGCTTTCAATAAAGAAAAAAATTGTAACGCTTTAAAGTGAAATAAAATTTTAATAAGATAAAGTGCGTAGTTATTAATGAGATACTGTAATTAATTGGCGTTTCATTTAAACACAAGCTTAGCTCCACAATAGTGCCTGCAAATATTGCGTGAATAAAATTTGCACGCAACTATGTCAACAATGTGTTTAAAAAGTTTGAATCAATGCATGTAAAGTGCATTTTGAAAGCAAAAATTTACGTTTAAAAATAAAATACAGCCCGTGTCAAAACTGTATTTTCAGATTAGAAATAAATGTTAATCTACTACGTTAAACATTGCCATGGGTACAAAAAAAAAACTGGAAATTCTTGATGAAAATCGCAATTTAAAAACTGAATCAACAGAAATGTCTGCATTTATACCAAGTACCACTTGGTTTAACCATCATGTTTAATAATAAATGAAATGTATGCATTCATACCAAGTACCATTTTGGTACGAATGGTTACCATCATGTTTAATATAAAATGTTTTCAAATAATAAAATGTGAAATCTTGAACGTCACTTTTCAATAAAACACTGTAGTTTTGCCAAAAGATATTCATCTAGTGACGACAGAAAAGCTGAAATATTAGAGTTGCAGCGAAATACACAAAGTTCATCCTTAACAACAGTCTTCAAATAGTCTTACATCAGTATTCAACAGTCTTCAAATAGTCTTACATCAGTCTCAAGAAATATTAAAGAGTGGAAACCCTTTTACAGATGGAGATTATGTAAGAACCTGTTTTTTAAACATGTCATAATATTCTTTGTAATTTTAAAAAATAAGAGGAAATAATTTAAAAATCAAAGATATTTCACTTTCTACAAAAACTGCTCATGACAGAAAAATGTATTTAACATTTTAAAATATTTTTGTTGTCAAAAGGTTCTGAATACTTGAGTTAAACAACAATGAATGGTTAAAAAAATTTAAATTTGCTTTGGATATGACAGCTCATTGTAACAACCTTAATAAAAAGTTGATAGGGCGAGGCAATACTGCGTTTATACAACATAAACTATATTTGCTTTTAGAAAATGTAGTTTCTTTTGAAAGTCAGTTATCTATGTTTATTCAAGATATTAGCAAAAAAAATATTATTTTTTCCATTAAAAAAATTTAATTTATTTCTTCCATTTAAAAAAAACATCGAAAAGCAGAAAGTGTTTGTCAAAAACACAAAAACTTTTTTGGCTGCTAATGAAAAAATATAAGATTCCTTAGCCATTCGTTTTTCAGACTTCAGAAAAGATAAAGTTACTTTGCTATTTTTGACACACCCAAAAATTTATTTCGTTGGTGTTTACTTACTGTAAACACCAACGAAATAAATTTTAAATCTTTTTAGAGGGTCAATAAACTTAAATTCGAAATTAAGTTAATATATATTTAAAATCAAAAGAGGTTTGGTCTTCAAAATTTACAACTTTGCAAACAGAACTAGAAAACTTGGAAAAAAAAAAGAAAAAAAGTTTGCGCAAGAGAATAGGAAAATAGATAAATGGAAACAGTGTTTAGATCTACATATTATTGTTAACAGAAATTTAGCAACATGAACATTATTAAAAGTAAATTGAGATCTTCTTTAAATGTTGTTAGCCCTGAAAGTTGTCTAAAACTAAAGACCTCAAATTATGAACCTGATTTTAAACCAATCTGTGAATCAATTAACTCACAAAATCTCACTATTCTTTTTGTTAATTTTTATAATTGCTTGCTATTATTATTTACAGGTTTATTTACTTTACAATACTTAAAAATAAATTTATAAATCATTTAAATGTTGTTGGATGTTATTAAATGATAATTTGTTGATAATGGTATACAGTTTTTTACAGTAGCATCCTTGCGGCTATCGTTAGAATTTTTCAAATTTATTTAAGAAAAAATGGCTCTCTTCTTAAAATTGGTCGCGGACCCATATGGTAGATCGATTTGAGAAGTTAAAATATTTTGTTAAAAAGGCATTTCTAGATTTAGAATTGGATTCCAACATTGATGGTTCAATAAGGATGAACAAAAAAGAATTTTGACTCTCGTTACAGTAACTGTGAAAATATTTTGTCAACGAGACACAAATTTAAATTCCGCTAACATTGCGTTAGAGTTCATATTGACAAAAATAAAACAAAAACAGTCTGAAATTAGAAAATAATTGTATAAAACTTGACTAACCAAATTAAAGAGAGGAAAACACCATTAAGTAGCTTAGTTTTTAATCTTCATAATTGGAAGATTATTTCATCAAAAAACCTAGAAGTCTTTGTACCAAATACAAGTATCCAAAGCAAAAAATATGATAACCTTGAACTCAGCAGATATAATAACAGCAGCAGATTTGAGTAGTGAAAGTGATGTTCTGTTGAACCAGACTTTTTCAAGCCACGAATGTGATAACAACGTCAAAACCATTAGCGAGCAAGTAAATAAAGTTATGGAAAATGGGTTGGCAATAGAAAGTAGATTTTCTGAAACTCAAAAAAAATATTGTTATTTAAAAGTTGTAGCACAAGATGTAATCACCTTCAAAAAACATATGATTATATACTATCTATACGGCCAATAAATCTGGACAAGCATTCTACGCCGCTGGGTTTTTATGTTCAAAAAATGGAACACGGATTTAGCAATGAAATGATTGTCGCTTTAGGTTTTTCAAGGTGACACTTTCAAAAATAAATATAACTCATATATACTCATGCATAGTTATATTATTTTCAGTTTATCTTTATTCATACTGCGCTATTATTGTAAGGTGTTGCTTTAAAATTTAAATTACTTAAGTTCATTAATGAATGAAATATTTTAGCTTTATTATCATTAAATTAATCATTTTTAAGTGTTTAATGAGTACTCAATAGTATGATTTACTTCCTACAATTGCGCTTTTCCCATTCATTTCCAGGATTTCTCAATCCGCAAATCCCGGTATTGAAAATGTTATGGATTTTTACAAAAATCCATAACATTTTCAATACCGTTTTTATTATTTTATTTACGTAAATTTATAGATTTCTAAAATTACTATAATGGGGACTACTCTATAGAGCGTTTTTTGTGTTATCTGCTTAAATTCATTATTGTGTTACTTGTCATTTAATTAAGTCTAATACTTTCACTTTGAATGTTCTTAAGTGCTCCAAAAATTCTTATTCTTCTAGTTTTTTTCCTCGCACATCAGTCTTTGGAATTTGCTTTCTTCATCTTGTTTTTCTTATTCATATAATTTGCAATCTTTTAAGTTGTATGTTAATCGTTATCTTGCTCTATAAATTTAATCTTTTCTCTTCTAATTTCAAATAGCGGTTGTTGCAGCTTTGTTGGAAGTAAAGATATTAAAAAAGGAGCCTTTAGTTACTCTCAAATTATCCTGAATATAAGAATCTAGTATTCAAAAATGTTGAGCAATTTATAAAAGTTGTAGAAAAATATTTTTCAAAAATAATACAAACAAAGTATTTACCTTTATTTACATTTTTTTAAACGTTTTTTTTTTCATAGAACGTTCAAAAAAAAGTGTTAAGAATGATTTGTCAAAATTTTTTAATTTGTGAATTATGAATTTTGACAGTTTAAACAAAAAGAAAACTTAAAACACTTTTGAAGAGAAATTTCGTAAAACGAAAGTTTTGAAATTCTATCCTAATGCAGATTTATAAAAAATTCTGTAATTGTAATTAACAAAACAACTGTATATCTAGTTTATTCTTTCTTCTAAGTTTTTTGTATCTAGGAGCTTCTAATGTGTAAAAAGGCTTGTAAACTACTTTTGGTTAGAAAAAAAACTTTTAGGTTTAAATAATCAATTTTTAGACTTGGTGTCTTTGAATAATATTGGTGCCCAGGTTTTTAGAGCTCTTGGCCTCCAGGATAAAAAGCAATAGGTTCCAAGTCATAAAGTCTCATGAATTTTTTCTTATTGCAGATCATAAGTTACCTAACATTTTAGAGCTCCTAGACATCAGAGACCAGGAAAAAATAGAAACTTAAAGCCGGAGTATTTTAGGGACTTCGCATCCTTGCTAGAGAATCTGTTGTTTTTTGTTATTTAAATTATACTATAATTTTTTATTGCTTTATAATTTTCAATATTATTATTATAAAACTATTTTCCAATAAAGCGTTATTTATTTGTATTTTGCCAATATTGGTATATTTTCTAAATAGGTACATGAAAGAAGCATTTACATTAAATGTAAATATTTATAAAATTAAGAACAACCTTTTTTGGAAAATACCCAGTGAGCTCAAGATATTTTTTAATTGTTTAAAAAACATTTCAACATGTTTAAACACGTTTTATAAAAGACATTTGTGCCCAATTGGCATTTATGTTATTGCTTTTGTCGAAGAAAAAAGTTTAATTTTAAAGAAACCAACAACTAACATTTTAATTATTTGAAAAAAACCACTTTTTATTCAACCGTTAATATAATATATAGAATTTACAAGTTTTGTGTATTAAGATATATATATATATATATATATATATATATATATATATATATATATATATATATATATATATATATATGTATATATATAATGATGGGAAGAACAAGAATTATACAAGCTTTTGTCATTAAGTCCCTAATTTTTATACACACTTGTAAGAGCCGTTCAGAAGCCAATATGATTAAGGGAAGTTTGCATAAGATGAGCAGGTTCCTAAGATGGTATAACCTGTTTTACGGGTAAACTACTAATTTTTTTGAGAATATGTTAGGTTAAATATATTCATACAAGTTCGACGGTGTTACTTATTTTAATTTCTTAATTGTATAGTTAATATCCGTTTGTTGTTTCACTCAAAAAAAAATTAAGTAAACGGGTAAAAATACCCGTTTTGATTTTTTACAATTCAATATTTTGTAATTACGTCAGAACAAAACAAGATCATCAAAAATTTATCATATCCTCAATACTTTATGCTTATCTTCTATTAGTTCCATGGGCTATATGAGATAATACATAAGTTGCTGTCATGCTTTTTAAATTATTATAGTACTTGGTGAAGTTTATTAAGATGATATTTTTTGAGACGCTCATGATGAGATGCGGCATTTTTTAAAGAAATGCATTTTTTTAAGTCATCCTCGACGAAGTTTTATGTTGGTATTTCAAGAGCGAAAATTTTTTTAAAAAGTAGTATTGCAAACTTTTTTTAGAGATTTTTTTTTAGAGATAAGCAAGATTTATTTATTTATTGTTTTTTTTTTTTATGGTTGAGATAATTACTTTTTAATTTAGTATAATCCTTAAAGATACAATTTTGTTTTTTTGTTTTTTAATTGATTTTTGTGAGTATTTTTTTGTTATTTTAAGTTTTTTTCAAGTTCTATTAAAAAAATCTCGTCTTAGGAAATTGGTTTTTAAGATGAGATGATTGGGTGTGTTGAAAATAACGCGATTTTTGGTATAAAGATTTTTATTAAGTGAACTATTCATTTATATTAGTTACGATAATCTGCAAAAAAAAAAAAAAAAAAAAGTCGCTTCTGATTACTTTCATAATAATTTTTAATTTTAATATTTTCAAAACATTTTTCTTCATTTTTATTTAATGGACCTTATCACTTCAACTTCTGAACGGCTCATTTATATATGAGTTGGTTTGTGATAAATGTAAAATTTTGCGGAAATTTCTTTTTTTGATACTTGATACTGCTCTTAAGTAATTTAAGTAATTTAAATAAAGCAGCCGTGGCGCAGTGGTAGCGCACTTGCCTCAGAAACGTAAAATCCATGGTTCAAACCCCACCTCTGGGCAAGTTTTGCGACATTGGTTGGGAAGGAGGCGTGAACTTCCCATTAAATGCTCTTCCGCGGTGCACTGTGACAAGACCGTATAGACTTCTTGGGGCACCTTAATCAACTTTAAAAAAAAAAAAAAAAAAATTAATATTTTTTTAAAACATGAGCAATACTAGTTGTTATATTTACACAACGAACGAATAGGCTGAATTAGTTCCGTTTAAGAGACTGATTTTTTATAAATTTTATTGGAATTTTTTATTTTTTAATCTGTAAATTAATCATCACAATACAAGAAAAAGTATTTTTGCAAGTAAAAAAATGTTAACTAAATGAAAACTTTGTAATCTTCAACATAGCAATTAAACAAACAGGTTTTTATAATATTGCTTACATAGTACAACCTGCTTTAGTTAAAAATACATAAAGTTTTTACGCATTCCCAAAAATTCAATAAGCTTCATTATCTAAATTAATACCAGCCGCACTTTTTACTTTACCGTTTAACATAATAGTAAGATTTAGTTGTAGATGAACCTTTTTTTATAGTTTGTTCATTACATAAAAGCACAACTATTTAAATCGAGATTAAAAAAGGTATTATGTAAAACTAATTTTTTATCTAAAATTTTTTCTTTTAAAACAAACGGATCTTTTTATTTACAGGAAGATTTTATTTATACGAAAATTTAATTACTCTTACTAAGGCAGTATTCTGATTTTACCAATCAAAAATTAGATATTTGGCAGAAATATAAAATTCTAGCTCATTTAACTAAATAATATTTTTTACCATAAACAAAAATAACTTTTTTTATTATTTTTACTCTTAAAAAGCTGTATTCTGTAAATTTGTGATTTTACCAATCAAAAATTAGATATTCGGCAGAAATATAAAATTCTAGCTCATTTAACTTTTTACCCAAAAACAACTTTTTTATTATTTTTTTTGCTTTAACTATTTTTATTTCTTTTTAAAGTGATAAAATTTTATATATATATATTTTTTTATATATATATATAATTCTATTAACAATTATTACCTCCCAGTAAATAAAATATGGTTCGCTTTTCCAATTTAAAGTAAATTAAAAAAAAAATTGCCTTATCGGCTCAAGGATCTAGGAACTTCTAAACACCATAATTTTAAAAACTTTAAGTAGAAACTTTATGTAATGATTTTTTCCATTAAATATAAAAACTATCAATGTTAAGAGCAATTTTCTCATTTAACTTTCTAGGTTGAATATGAATACTAATAAAATAGCTCAAAATGTTATTTCCGCAGTGTTTATGACGTCAATTGTGTTAAACATGACTGCCTGTTATATAATTCTAACGAAAGTAAAACGAAAAGAGCTAACGCATTTGTTTGTTGTCAGCATTTCTATTACGAATTTATTAGAATCGACGATTGGATTAACACCTCAATTAGTAATGGCCGCTGAATATTTAGTGGAAAGTACTCCGTTATGCATCGCAAGCAGTTTTGCAGCTTTTGGTTTTGCTATTACCAATATAACTCATTTGGCAATGCTTTCTTTTATTAGAACTGTTGCAATAAAATACCCGAGGCAATATTTAAAATATCATAAAATGTTTTTGTGCAGAATAACATTAATTTTTGTATGTTATGCGTACGGTTTTTTTTGGGCAACGCTTCCTATTATTGGTTGGTCAAAATATGAACTAGATCTTGATAAGAAACGTTGTTCGTTGGACTGGAAATTGACAAAATCAAACTCTTTTTCTTTTATTTTAACTATTTTTATTTGTTGCAATATTTTACCTGGAATAGTCATTGCCATATCGTTATATTTTAGCACAAAAGAAATTCGATACCGAAAGGCACGAAAATTTCCTCAAAACACTAAAACAAATCTTTTAGAAAAAGAGTATTTACAAGTTTGTTTTTTATCAGCGGTTGCATTTTTTTTCTTTTGGATATCTTACATTATTGTTGGTGTTTTGACATTGCTAAAAATTGATATACCAACACAGTTGGCAACAACCACCGCTCTGTTTTCAAAATTCTCTACTGTTTCTAATGTTCTTGTTAATTGTTACGCAGTTAAATCCTTCCGAAAACAGCTGCTAAACGTAAAGGTAATTCAAAATATGAAAGCTTATCTTCGCGTATTGATTGTTTGCAAAAAGATTTAAAGTAAATATCATACTACCTATGTATAACTATAATAATTAATAAAGAAAGTAATGGTGAATTTCATTAAGTTTAACTATAAAACTATTTTGACAGAATTTCGATACTTTAAAAGATTAAAAAGAAAATGCATAATTTAAGTTTGTCAGGCTTCAACTCATAAATCTCATCTCGTCGTTTTTATGACTTGTCTGATAAATAATTCTTACTATTGTAAATAATTTTTACAAGATTTTTAATTGGTTAAAAACTGTTGCGTATGTTTTTTAACTTGATTGTTTTAAGTAGAAATTCGATTTTCACTTAACCAGTCAGCAATATGATATCATAATTATACTGCAAGATCTATTTATTTTAATTTATTTATTAATTTTATTTACCGTATAATGTTATTTACATTAAGATTTATAATATAATACGGGCAGGACTTGAACAATATCGTTATGACCTTACCACGAAACCCTTAACAATATAAAACTCTGTTTTCTGCTACGATAAAAACATCTATATACCTTATAAAATACGTGTATATCAATATATATATATATATATATATATCTAAAATATATAACCATTATATATAACAAGTTAAACAGAGTACCTATTTAAGTAGTAAAACTCACGATTAATCATAACAAAATAATATGCAGCATAACAACTGAAAATATTTTTAAAAAATCAAAAAATATCAATAACATTTCGTTGTTAAAAAAGTCACTTTATTTTATAGATCGTTGAATAAGGAACAGGTCAATTTAGATAAAAAAATAAAATTAGAACGTTTTATTTCATTCTTGAAAAAAGGTCTATGAAAAGAAATACAAAATTGAGCTTGTTTGTTTTTGCAAATAGGTTTTTCTAGAATGTTATTATTACGTATATTATATTTGTTTTGGGGTTTAATTTTGTAAAGGTTTACAAAAACATTGGCGGACATAAGTTCTTTACATTTATACATAAAGTACAAAACGTTAAATACATTTAGCTGATAAAAATTTAAAGCGTCCATTTGTTTCACAAGCGGTTGAGAGTTTAAAGAAATTTTTAAAAATTTATTATGCTAGCTGCGTGTTTCTGATGCCGATAAAATTTTAGTTTAGTTTTATGTGTACTTCTCCATATAATGTTTGCATAACTATGACAACGAATGGAAGACTAGTATCATTATGTTATTCGGTTTTTGTTTAAAATACAGATTTGTATAGAGTTCTAATACATTTTGCAACTTTATTAGAAATGTTATCGGTGTGATCTCCGATTTTCTCCAATAAAAGCTTCTAAAAATTTTGTCATTTATTCTAATTTTAGGATACTTTGACAATAAAGAGATCAGGCTTATTTACTGACAGTATCTATTTCTTATATTTAGGACAAAAAGTATCCATTTTTTTTATCAATATTTAGAAAAGTTTTTTTAAGTTCTCTGTTTATGTTATTAAAAGTTATGTTTACATTTTCACATGACCGAAACAAGTTTGTGTCGTCTGCAAAAAAATGGTCTTTAAATTGGATGCTTTGTTAAGATTTATATATATAATAAAAAGAAGTGGTCCGTATATGGATGATTGTGGGAAGGAACACCATATGTTCATTTTTTTTTTTTTTTTAAGCAATGAGTTTTGTCATATATTAAAATTTACAATGAAATAAATCGTGTTAATAAGAGAACTGGAGCAAGCAGAAGACATAAATTGTCTTATCATCAAGCCCCATCATAAAATTTACACTAAAAAATCGTTAATATAAAAAATGAAGAGTAGCTAAGTACATAACAAGAATTTTAAATACGTTAGTTACAATATAACTAATGACATAATATAAATATTAGTGTTGAAATATAACGCATTATATCAAAGATTAACAATAATTTAAATTCATTGATGTTTGAAATCTTTTTTAAATTGCATTAGGTTGAAGAGACTTTTGAACTCATCTAAGATATTATATCATGATACGCTTATGAGATCATGATACGCTTATGAGATCAGAATACTATCAAAATGAAATTATCCAATTATTTTAACTTGAATTGAAACTTAATATCATAACATGAACAACTTATGATTGTAAAAAATCATCATGTACTCAGAAGTTCGTGATATCATTATCATGTTAAAATGAAATCACACAATGACGCACCCCAAACGCAAATTTTGATATCACACATAGAGTTTATGTTATTTTGATAACAATTTAATAATAATAATTTTATTTTTTTTATGTAATTTTTTATCAAATTATAGCTAGATTAAAGGGAAAGTTTGTGCATCTAGGGCCAGATTTTTTCAATTATTTGGTAAAATTTTACGTCTTATTTAGGCAGTTGTTAAAAACAATTTTATGGTAAAATATTGTAAAGTGAATTATAAAGTTTTAGAAAGCGCTCTTTGAAAAACAATTTATTTGGTATTTTGTTGAGTTTTTTTGTTGTAACTATAAGTAGCAACTAAGATAATTTGTTTTCGAAATTTTTTCAACTTGTATTATTTTGTTATTTGGTAAGCATATGACATTTAGTGACTCAACAAGCTAGCTTTGTTAAAGACTAAATACAATTTGCACCCTCTTTCTTAAAGATCAACAGGTATTTTTCAATGTCTATTAAATTAGCCTGGAAGTTACAAACAACTAAAAATGTTTATAAAAAGAATAAACATTTATTGTATTTTAAAAATTTTTCTTGATTTAACGACGTTATTGATAAATGAAAGGTGAAAAAAAAACATTTTGCAAAGTTTGAACTATTTAAAATTATAGTTAGCAATAAAAATAAAGCACGAATGTTTTCTAGGAGGTAAATATCGTCGCTATGTTAAAATAAGTGCTGTCGAAACTTGAGTCTTACTCGCCGCAACCTTGCTAGGGAACTTTTGACTATATAAATCAATAAATTGCTTTAGTTTAAATTGTTTAAATCTATTTAACTTCTTAATTTAATCGTTCAAATGTGTTTTTTAACCAATACTTTCTTTCTTTCTTTTTTTTAGGTGCCCCAAGAAGTCCTTATCAAGGCGGAAAAGCATTTAATAGGAAGTTTACGTCTCTTTTCCAACCGATGTCGCAAAACTTGCCCAGAGGTGGGGTTTGCCCAGAGGTGGGGTTTGAGCCACGGATCTTACGTTTCTGAGGCAAGTACAAAAGAAGTAAAAAGTAGAAATATGTTATACACAAACTAAAAAGACAGGCTAACTCAGAAAGCATCTACTTTTTGTTGATTTACAATAATAATATACGTAAAAATAATATATAACCACTTGAGCATTTTATAGCTTTTTTAACAAATGTGCGATTCTTAAATTGATAAATTATATAAAAATTTGACTAAAAAAAGCAAATTTTTATACTAAAGCTAAGGAAATCACAGCGATCTGAGCAGAGCATTGTATGTCTGGTGTGGAAAATTATAATAAATATTCTCGTCTCTTCTAAATACTCAATTCTCAAGAATTGAGTATTTAGAAGCAGAAAACAAAAAAGCAAAAAAAAGAACAAACAAAAAAAAAAAAGAAACAAAAACAAAAGAAAATTAATTTTCCAAAAAAAAAGAGAATGTAAGCATCTCCTATCAAAATAATATTTGTAGTGATGACGTTTGAGTAGGTTTTATTAACGAAGAGAAGAAAAGTACTGCCTAAAAAACGATGCTTTATTTGCCGAAATTGCATAAGAAAACAACGTGAAGAAAAGAGTTTTAAATATCGGGTGGACACGGAAAAATCCGGTCATCTTTAAATTGAGATTTCTCTAAAACCACAAATGCTTTTTATTAAATTTTTTTTTTAATTAAACCTTACTTCCTTATCTTAAATGGTGTTGATAAATTTTTGTCTAAAAGTTAATGATTTGCAAAATGTTTTGGAAACAAGTTGAGGTGCGTAAAAACGTTGTGAATTTTTTTTGCAAAAATCCATCGACTTCCTATCGCTTGATTGCTAAACGCACAAATGTCCCAAAATCTACAGTCATAGATATTATAAACAAGTTCAAGACTACTCAAAGCTTCGAAAGAAAACTTGGAAGTGGAAGAAAAAAAACTTTCCATAAATCCAAAAAGGTAAAGTCGATTTTATGTTCAATAGCAAGAAATCCAAATCAGTCACAACGAGATCTAGCAAGAAAATTTAAGACTTCTCGTTCTTATATCAAAAAAGTACTTAAAAATGCTGGAATTAAAGCATTTCATAAAAAAAATACACCAAAGAGAAGCTTAAATTGGGAAATTAAAGGAATTTGAAGCGCAAAGAAGTTGGTTAAAATAATGGCGGATAAAAATATGTGCATATTTGAAGACAAAGAAACGTATATGCAAGGCGGAAACAAAGATAAACCTGTCGATGATCAATTTAAATATATTCGACGAGAAAAATTTGCATCCAAGTTCCTTGTGTGGCAAGCAATTAGTAGCTGTGGTATGCAGTCCTCTTGTTTTGTCACTAAAAAGACCTTGACTGCCAATCTCTACATCAAAGAATGCCTCCAAAAAAGACTTTTGCCTTTTATAAAAAAACACAAATACCGATGTCTCTTTTGGCCCGATCTTGCTGCCTCTCACTATTCTAAAAAAGTTTTACAGTGGTGCAAAGATAATAATGTGAAAATTGTTCCTAAAGATGCGAATCCTCAAAATCGTTCTGAAGAGCGCAAGATTGAAGATTTTTGGGCAATAGTTAAAGGAGTTCTTCGTAAGACAGGTGGACTAACAAATAGTAAAAAGAACTTCCAAAAAAAGTGGATTAATGCCACCAATATGGTGAAAAAAGAAAAAATCTGTTAAATGGTGGCATCAACCCGCCATGAAGTTCGATTTCTTGCCAAGCAACCTATCAAGCCCCTTAAAATTAAGTTGAAACTTTAATTTATGTAAACACATTTAATAATAAAAAAATTGAAATAAAAAGCATTTATGGTTTTAGAGAAATCTCAATTTAAAGCTGACCGGATTTTTCCTTGTCCACCTGATAATATTATCATAAGTGGTCTTACTGAGTCAGTAAGTTTGTAGGAAGATAATAAAGGGATTTAAGAGTTTCTGATCATCCTAAAAGTGTTTTGTAATGATGTAAAAGTTAAAAAAGACTAAAAAAAAATACATTACTTTCAACTCCTTCTGTCTCTAGTGCGATCACCAAACAATTTAATGAAGCAGTTTGCACAAAAAAACTCTATTCTA